AGACCATATACTGAACATTCAAGGGTGAGTTTCCAACCAAATAATATTTCATGATGGAATAATTCTTCAGTGAACATGTTTCATGTATCTCAGTGACAATGATTTAATGGTAGTTTGAATAGCTTCATCTGCAACACTGCTCTACAATAACATCTGTTTGAAGAATCATTAAATAAATAAACTGAATATCCATAAATAAGTATATCCACATACGTCACATCATCAAAATTCGGTAACAAAATGTAACACTCAAACACGATTCTGCAACTTGGGAAATGCTTCAGCTGGAAAAAACATCTCTCTACACTTTTCGCTTTGCATCACATAGGCGGCAAAAGAAACATGAATAAGCTTTTAGGTATCAACAGTAGATCAGTAGTAAAATTAAACTATGATCGCACTACTATGTTCACAATCGCTTAATTGATTTAGGCCCGGAACTGAAACATCGAAACTGACTTTGTGTCCTGAGAACACAAACACTGCTGATATGGATCTCCACAGAACCTCTTCTGATATAAATTCATATGCAAATACATATGTGAAGTATCCTGCTGAGCTGCTTCCACGCAGACTAAATTTTACTCTTTTGAAAATGTCATTTCAATTACGTTTCAGAAATAAAATGTGATTTAACATCACAAAGTCGCAAATAAATATTACTGGGGACAATTTCTAATCTCTTTTATCTTATGTAATGTACTTCAAATACACCGATTTTCCATTGACCACCTGTATATTAACACTCATTAAAATAACTTTCTTAAGATAGAGATTACTTTGACTTTCAACCATTCATTCTTTCATAACATCACTAACATATATTGCAACATTCTCTGAATTACTGAATAATGAATAAGCAAAGAAACATGTAACATTGATCAACTGCACGCAATAATCCTTTATATTAAATAAAACAAGTTTAGTTATCCTCCCTTACATCGTATTTCTATCAACAATATATATGAATAAATAAATTCATGTATATATATATATATATATATATATATATATATATATATATATATATATATATATATATATATATATATATGCAGACCACTATTGATCACAAACTTATTTATCATACATCATATACATGTATAATTGAGTTCATACACATTAAACTAACAAGACATATTGCCAAAATGAGGGCGAAGTCTCACTCTAGTTCTCTTTACTCAAATAAAACAATAATTAAGAACAAATAGATAACAATTGTCAATTAAGCATGTAAACAAATAGTTGGTGTTGAACAGATTTACAATAACATATTATTCAAACAATTCATACACATGAACCATTAATAATTACTCCCCTCATATTCAACCTCACTTCTCCCAATCGCTATATTTAAACAACTTTCGACAAACAAATCAATGTGATGTAAAAATATGTTTTTGTGTGGTAAACGATGTTTTGGATATTTATGGAGTAAATACATTTCTTAAACTCATCAAGTAGTTAACAAATATATTAGTCAATAATCCTAATAACAATTGAAATTTGAATAAATGTTCAGATTATTAGATGAAGCCTAGTGAGAGTATAAAGAATGAGAATATTCTATTTATATGTTGAACACTCTTGGATCAGATCGATTAATCCTCTGTTGGTAGTATCAATAAATAAATTGGTCGATAATCACATAAAGACTACTGATATGGCTGTTAACAATGAGGAATAAATATGGCATTCTGTGGATCTCATTCAGAAATGTAACACCGAAACAGTTCCTGATCGATCGAATAACAGATTTCGGTGAAATGCTTTCCGATTGTATTGTATTATTACAATCTGATCAATATTGAATATTAAACACAAAAATAGAGCATGAATACCTATTTAGTACATTTTTACTCTCATTTAAGTAATATTCAGTGTTTCAGCACTGCTAAGTTCAAATTATACCAATCTGATTGTTAGCCTAACTGTAAAACTAATCATGAGTTAGTATAGTCAGGTATTAATTTGATTTCTTTCTAAAGTTAAATAAATCTATATCAGCAGTGGTTGTTGTTATGACCTTGAATGTCTGACTTTTCGATCACACGACTTATCTACCAATCCGAATACGACTTATACGAATCTTCACACTAGGCCAACCAATGACGTTCAACCGGTGTGGGCAGTTTAGCGTCCTTATTGGTCCTATATCCTACGAGCCCTTCCACTTGAGTCCAGAACAAGATACCAGCTTCCGAATCAGAGCAGATCATTTATTTCAGGCATACTTGGTTTATATATCAATCACACAGACCGCAACGTACCATAAAATAGGAAATAATATTTGTACACAAATAAGCCCAAAAAGTGGCTGTGAATGTGGGAGGCAGTAGTTAATAAACTGAACATAACTTAAGAACCGTAAATCGTACAATAATAAATTATAGATCAAAATAAAGCTTATCATAAAAGGAATATAAATATCCATAGTGTAATTGTTGAGTAGTTATACAGTAAGAATATTTATAGAATATTAGTCCATGAATAGTCCTTGGAATTTACCTGTAGTTTAATCTTCACCGGATATAACAGTTGTGTTCTCACTACGCATCGCAAGAAAATATTCAGTATAAACAGCTGTGTTTTGTTCTCTGAGCTAGATAGTTTGGTCATGGAGCTTTCGATACACGTGAGTCTCCAGTTTTCCTGTGTTGGTTCTAGTGATTAGTATATCCAACAATGATAGTTCATTGTTCGACTTCTGTCCGATTGTAGCTTTATGTCACCGAAGTTGTTAGTCAGATTCTAGCTGGTCCTTTTTGACATTGACAAATATGTCATTCACAGAACAGATCCTAATTTTCGGTTTGATCGCTGGTAAGATTCAGGCTTCCAGTCTCTGTATCATTGTTGAGATCTTGGATAGATGGAATACTAAAAACACCAGGGAATTTTAAGGAACTTGAGACTCAGGTCGATCAGTGATCAATAAACATATTAAAATCTATCTAATCTATCAACCAATCAGAAAAATCATGGACAAATATAGGACCAAGAATCAAATCAACGGGGGATACAATCAAAATAAAGAAATGAACAATGACAGCTTACAGGTCAACAAAGCCAATCAAGATCGGGTTTCACAGGACAAACTGTGAGTCATATGTGGAGGAATTCGAACACTTCACTTCTATCTGAAGTTTGTGCTGACAATGCCGTTCAGAAGAACAAAAAAAGCTCCACGACCAAACCATTCTGGCTCAGAGAACAAAACTCCACCAAAATCACTCATCTGTGTTACAAATCTTCTACACCATCTCAGAACAGCTGTGTATTATTTCCTGGATATTTTAAGATTGTAAAGAATCTTGTCTTTATAAAGCAGAAATGACATTTGGAAACAATTATTTCTTGAATTTTTAACTCAGTATTGTTTAACATTTATTTGAACGTTAACCTAATTCATAATGTTCATACTGATAAAATCAATCTTATTTAACTGAACAGTAGAAAACTCATAAATTGATGATCAAATTAAGTCAAGATATAAGTCCATACATAACGTTTATACTTATTTGTGAACTAGCTTTACCTTAACTAATATATATATATATATATATATATTGATTATAATCTAAAAATTTTAATTGTACTTTTCTGATTCTGATATTAACTGTGTTGGAAATGGTGTTCATTTCGTACCATTTATTTAGAAAGTTAAAGTGTTTAGTACAATACTAAGGCTACTACGTAAATTACGGGAAGATTTATAGCTTTGCCTTGAAAGAAACTCATCTTTCAGTTTCTCTTGGTTCTTGAGACTCGATTTATGACATATGTATGATAATCAACTTTGACAAAAACAGTCGATTCTATCTGTTCTCATGCAAAGCAATTTACTTTCACCAATACAGTAAAATACTATGCGTTATCAGTCATAACACTGAATCATTCTAGTAAGGAGTATACAGAACATAACACTTGTTGAGACATTGTCACTATAACAGGCCAGTGAAGTTCTTGACGCTCTCATTTTATTATTAGTTAATCTTAAATATCAGTATGAGAATTTGTGGAGGTTGTAGTATTTTCGCAATTGAAATTACGAGCTGATCGAAAGTAGACCAGTATTGAAAAGCTGGAAGCACTAGACGGCAATGGATGAAGGGTTCCACAGGACCATGGATCGATTGGAGCTAGATATCAACACTATTCGATAACGAGCCAGTAGTCTAGAGGTTAAGCGTTTGTACGCGAGACCGAAGGTCCTTGGTCCGAGTTTCACGTGTGGATCGTGTAGTTTTGATCTAACAAATTTTTCGTCGAATTGGACAGAAAAAATGTAAAGTAATGTGGAGACCAAAGCGCCTGTCATAAAACATTTCCATAAAAGCTAGTGTAATTAACTAACATAACAACATCGGACAGTATTGGACTTCTTGAAATGTTTTGTACGACTTAAGAAATTTTGTGAAATATCATGTTACAACACAATTTGTTGGTCCGAAACCTACATACACCATTTACTACTAAGCTATATATTTATGATAGTCCCATGTAATAGTCATTAATTTGGTACACAATATGAAATACACCAAACAGCTGAATCATTGAGTTTTTTTTCAACAAAAAGTATTACACTAGCACAACCACAGTTAAAAAAACACAAATAATAGGGCAAAGCAAGATAAGTGGAAATATAGAGCAAAGATAAATAACAAAACAAAAAATTAAAAACTATTATTCCAAAATAAAAATACTGATGATAAAACACATCGTAAATAAAGCTGAAAGTGGATAGAACATATAGATACATACTTTGAGAATAGGGGTTGGAAAATAAAGATTCATCAGTCATAAACATCAACAACAACTAAATCATCAAAGCACATTGTAGTAGCAAGAAAAACACTTTATACATAGATAAAGAACGAAATAACTAAAATACAATTCAACAAAAAAGAACCAGAACGACAAAATGGAATGATTTGAAATGTTTACCAAAACGACGATGATGATGACGACAATGTTATGCAAGATGTATCCAATTAACTTTAAGAAAAGTTTGTTTTACACTTTTTCATTTCATTTGTAATCTGATGTATATTTACCAACTGATTACGTATAGGCATATTTTTGTAGGGACTTTGTGTCATCACTTTTTGAAAACGATGGTAATGTTGAATAAGTTGAGCAAGTAAACCCTATAAAAAGAGTAAATTTATTGATACTAAACATAATAAGATTTTATGGTTGAAACATTTTAAAAGGGATATTAAAATTCCGTAGTCAGTCCTCACCTGCATGTACCGCGGATCTTTTAAATACTCATCAAAGTTACTTATCAATATGAAAAACGGTACGACCTATAAAAATTATCAAATAGGTGTTTATCTCACAGCAGCGACACGTAGCACAAGTGTGATCAACGCTACCAACTGATAGGTTCCAATTAAACAAATGATCCAGGTGAGAAACAATCGCTTATATACCAAACTGCATACATTATGTTTAACAGATAGGCTACAGAAGCTTATAGCTATACGTGGTCATAACTAAATGATTACATTATATAATTTACAGTTCATTAAACCAGTAGGTTGAATGGGTGCAGATTCTCGACGAAACCAACAATCACTGTGAATCCCAAATGTTTTTTTACGAAAACCCTATAAAGTAAGTATTTACAATTTCTTGCAACAGACGAATGTTTGAATTTTCGCAGATTCCTGGGATTCTAACACTATACCGAACACAAAAAGTATAGATTCAAAATCTATTACTAATCGAGAATGTGATTATCATCGTAATGTGAATAATTGTTTTATATCTAGTATCAATCAACAGGGGTAATTGCAAGAATAAAACTAGATTTTATGAGGTAGTGAAATTTCTAATTGAATCGATAAGTATAAATTATTTGCACAATATATGGAAAGTAAGCTTTGAATATACAGCTGACGCAAGTGTATGAACAGTCAACAATGAAAGCACACACTACAGTACAAGGATATGATGGATTTATTATTATTTATTTATTTGAACACATGAATATTGGTACAAGAGGGAACCAAATATACATGAGCCACACAAAAGTATGAGAATAAGAAAAGAAAAAAAGGTACGGAGCGTAAAGGAAAAAAGAACAATAACGACCAGACTAGTGTAAGGTAGTGCAATAATAATAATAATAAAAGAATAGTAATAATAATGGGGGAAACGGAAAGGTACAATCAGAAGAAATCTTTCAGTTAAGGAAGATACAACCACTTTTTACGAAGAAAGTAAAAGAAGGTTACAGCAGGATCGCCACTGACTCCTATTCTGAGCCGTATCTGGTAACGTCTCTAGCCACTGTATTGTTCCATCTCTCGGACCCCAGCCGAGGAGTCGTGAAGGACCAACACAAGCCACCTCTTTGCAGCTTCCTTCCATACCACGACACAACGTCATACAACGACCACCACTCCGCCTTCTTCAACCAATCCCACAGTCCGCAAATAATGCACGACGTGGAATTCTTTGGGACGACATTCGCAGAATATGTCCAAGCCACCGAAGTTGGTGTTTCAAGATGGTGACACCAACTGAATTATCGTCGCCGTGCCCGAACACACAATGCTGAACCTCTGTATTACTAACAAGGTGTTGCCACTGGATGTCAGCAATCCTTCGGAGACAACGATGATCAAACACAGAGAGTCGTCTAGCATCCTCAACTAGGAGAGGCCAGATTTCACAAGCATAGAGCAGAACTGCTCTCACCGACGCGTTGTAGATCTGAACGTTTACAGCCAGACTAAAATCACGAAGGCGCCAAAGACGGCCCAGATTTGCATAAGCCGCTCTGGCTCTCACTAGACCTGGATTGGTCTCATCACTCACGCCACCACCAGCACTTATGCAGCTACTTAGATACACGAACTTCTCGACTACTTCTATCTGCTCACCATCCAAGGTGAGTACAGGATTAGGATCCTGTCAGTCTTGTAGAAGTACTTTGCACTTCGAAGGTGCAAAACACATACCATACCTACGGACACTGATTGCCAACTGATTAAGTGCGGATTGCATGCCTTGGGCATTATCGCACAGTAAGACAATATCATACGCATACTCAAGGTCGAGAAGTCTTTCTCCAGGCAACAGATCCACACCACCATTACTTACATTCATCAGAGCTGTTTCCAGAATGTCATCGATGGCAAAGTTGAAGAGGAATGGTGAGATTGGGCAACCCTGCCTAACCCCACTGCTCGAATGGAACGATGGAGAGAGGTGGTTGTATGCCCTCACTCTGCCTGAGGTGTTTGTATATAAGGCTTTTAGGATGTTAATAAACTTCTCAGGCACACTCTTCTTCAATAGACAATCCCAGAGAACAGTCCTGTCCAACGAATCGAAGGCAGCCCTGATGTCAACAAACACTACGATTGTTGGTCTTTGATAAGTATGACGGTGTTCGACCATTTGGAGGAGGGTGAGATATGATCAATACATCCTCGACCAGAACGAAAACCAGCCTGCTCCTCGCGAGTCAATCTTTCTCGGGTTTTGAACAACCTACGAAGTATGACGGAAGCCAATAGCTTGGACGCAATCGGAAGTAGACTTATCCCCTGATAGTTGTCACAGGAACAACGTGAACCCTTTTAAAAGATAGGGACAACTATCGACTCATTCCATGACGTTGGAACACTCTCTAGTTCCCAGACCTTTGTAAACAACACAGTCAGTTCCTTTGCCAGAAAGTCACCACCATCTTTAAAAAGGGCCGGAAGAAAGTCATCTGGGCCAGGTGATTTGTAGCGCTTCAAGAGTTGGAGTTCCTTGAGGAATTCCGCCTCATCTGGTGGACCAGTCGTCACCGGCCATGGAGGGCAGGGCAGTCTAACCGATGTTGCCGGAGCAGCAGGCCAGTTGAACTGCCCTTCGAAAAATTCTGCCCATCGTCCAAGAACTCGATGGATGTTAGTGATTGGCATCCCATCATCCTCGCAGATTGTTTCACTCACACCAGACTTCTTGTTGCCAGTGGCTCGGATGAGTCTTGAATACGGGTCTCGGATAGACAACAAACGTCAATATTAAGACTTTCCAAAGACATAGCCAGCCCTATCTGTTGTCCAACCTGCATAAGTGTGCGAACGTTGAAGGCAGCCAGTTTGAATGGTGCACGTGGTTTCAGAAAATCTGCTTCAGTACTCATATTCGGTGGTAACATACAGTTTTCAACCAGGCAGTGACTCGAGAACGTTGAGATAGAGCCGAATTTCCACCATAGACGAGCTGTTGTATAAGTCGAGAAATAAGGATAGACAAAGCGGAAATAAAAGAGAGTGGATAAATGACGTAGTAATTAATAATAGTAATAATAATAATAATAATAATAATAATAATAATAATAATAATAATAATAATAATAATAAATTGAAACGTTTGGTTGTTAATCGAAGCAAATATAGAATTTTCCGTACGTATTGTCATTTCATTCTGTTTGTGTGTGGTACTGTGGTACTGCCTGGGTGCCCAGACCGAAGCAGGTGGTTTTCTTAGGGGGCCACAACCCGAGCCTTTGACCTAGAGGTCTGACCAACAAGACAGTGGAGCATCGTGAGGAGATACAGTCACATGATAGCCAGTGACTAACGATTGGTTCATACGCCATTTGTTCCCACAGGATACTGGAGCCCATGTGCACCATTGGTTTGGGATCCGGTTAAAGCGCCGGACATTCGCTTTTCGTCCTCTCATTTTCGTAGACAACACCCCCGCCACGAGAATGCATTGAGTAGGACTTCCCTGGCAGAGGATGTATACGCGTGGCCGTGTGAAAGCATTTTGAGAAGGGGCGGGCCCGCCCCACTCTCGGTTATACCAGGGCATTCGGGGGCTGATAATCAAACATGTTTAAATATTTGCGGAGTTTTGAAAGGAATACACAAAATAGGGATATAAATTGATACAGCCACATATGCAAATAGTTTAAAGATACTCAATTAAACATGCAAACAAAAATAGAAGGGAGAATCATAAATTTAGTCATAAATGTAGGCTCACAAAATAAAGTAATACTAACCTGAAATATTTGTGTCCCCAAGGTAAAATTGGCAAACTCCATCATGATTTCATCATGTATTTTTTCAATCGAATTCTTCCAATCAATATTGAAGCCCTTCACTATTCGTGTTACCCGAGCTGATGAGAAATAGAGGTGTGAAGGTATAAAATGAAATAACTGCAGACTAAACCTACAAAATATCACTATTCACCATAAAATTAACATAGCGCACTGTTTACCATATTGTTTAGCAATACAAATAACTCAAGTATTGTTCAGTGTAATACATTATCTTTCTCGGTTGTAAGACATTTTGATGTAGTGATAATTAAAAAATATATGTATTTCAAGATATGCTTTGATAAGATACTAACATAACTAGTTTATAATTCAGTCTTCAAAAGATCCTCAAGTATTCAAACTACTATAAACTACAACACTATTTAGAATCTCAGTGGTGCATCATGAGAGATGTTTCCGAATGAATCTTCAACCAAATAACTGATTGATACCATTTGGTGGGACTTCGCAAATGACCTAGCTTTTCTATCCCATACACACACAAAATGAAGATGAAGACAACTAGTGCAGCAGCAACCTCTACATCAGTAGGGGTCAACATACACAAGTGAAAAAGCGAAATTCGCAAATACAACACGGAGAACACCAACCCAATCACATTAAGTGGAGCTCTGGAAGAGATGGGATCTTCCATGTACCTGGGAAAGATCATCAACGAACAAGGAGGATCAGATGCAGGCGTAAAGGTGAGGATTGGCAAATCAAGGGTCACTTTCCTACAACTGAAGAGCATATGGAACTCAAAACAACTGTCAACCAATATCACAGTCACAATCTTCAATACGAACGTCAAGACAGTTCTACTGTAGGGAACTGAAACGCGGAGAACGACTATAGCCATCATTAAACACATACTAGTATTTATAAACAGTTGTTTATGCAAGATACTCAATATCCGTTCACCGGATACAATCAGCAACAGCCTATTGTGGCAGAGAAGAAATCAGTTCCCATCTGAAGAGGAAATTAGGAAAAGACTCTGGAAGTGGACAGGATATACATTACGGAAATCACCAAACTCCATCACGACACAAGCGCTAACTTGGATTAATGAAGGGAAACGGAAAAGTGGAAGACCAAAGAACAAACTGCATTGGGAATCGGAAGCAGACATGAGAAAGATGAATAGAAACTGGAGACAACTAGAAAATATTGCCGAAGACAGGGTTAGATGGGGAATGCTGGTGGGCGGTTTATCCTTCTCCACGAGGGGTTACAGGCGTAAGTGACTATTTAGCTGAAAACTTATCAGTCGGCTTTACTACATTAACACGAACGATAATATTTAGGACCAAAGACAATATATGGCTTGTACAGCGGTATTTTTGTGACATCAAATCACGTTGACCGCCTGCTTTGAAGTCAAATAACAATTAGATTAATCCACGATAGGTAGTAGACTAAGATTATTTTAAGCACTTATGGTTCATCTAAAATCCGTTATTGAGAAATTGAGTCACATTTTTGTTATGTTCCTTAACAAAGAAGGAAAAAGACTTTTGCAAGTTGAATTGCTTTATTTCTCTTAAGTTACTGAAGTGAAGTTAGTTTGTTTCAATTAGAAAATGTCAAACAAGTAAAACCACTGTAATTACCCTAGGATAACATTTTACTACTGGGACCTAAGTGAAACTCCATAAGTAATTACCGTGATAAGCATTTTTTGTAACTAAACCCAATAAAGTTAAATACATAAGCATTCACTATTTCTCGAAAGAAACAACCTGAATGAAGACAAATGACATCATAGTGTCCTTAAACCATAATGCCTACGATTATTTTGAACAACGCAAAATAAAATTTGATAACTGGGAATCAAGAATATATTTCTACTGCTACAATAACTTGACTATGAAGACCACAAATCAATTATCGTCGATGTAAACATGATAACTAATACTGTTCTTCAAGTAAAGAAAGTAGCAGGGATAGAAAACATAGGTTTATTAAAAAATGTATCATATAACTGCAGACACCGTACTGTTAAGCTGCTAACGTATTCATTAACACTCCACACTTTTTTACATGTAATCACTCTGTTATCGAATGTGGAAAGAGTTCGTTCTTCCTTTCATCTTCTATTCACAAATCTCATATATAAGTGTTACTAAGTGAGAGAAATTGGATGATAAAGAACGCACAAGAAAACTTACCAGTTAATCCTTACATAAAACAAGATTTATTAAGATCTACAGACTGTTCCTTAATATTCGAATAATTTCATCAATTTACACTTCACCACTTCATTTACATTCATGTTAATACTAATTACAGAATCATTCTCACGGTTGATGATGAAGTCAAAAAAGAATAGTGAATAAAAAATGCATGTAATTTAGGAGACACAATAGTTTACTTTATCATTATTTTTAATCTCTGAGTAACAAATTAGATACATGCGATAATATACTGCTATTTACAGCTAGAGTGATCCAGAATTTTAAACGGCCAACTTTAGTTTCTATATGCAGTCGAGCAAAATAATATCTAAGACAGCCTATGATTATAAATTTTGTCTCAGAGAGATTTAATAGAGTTGAAAGAAAATCTAGAATCCAGAAAGATTCTTTAAAGTACATAGATACCACGATAACCATAGATAATGTTATTTTAACAATGAATGGCAGTATAATACCTTCCTCACTACGAATATTTTGGGCCACTTCGTCTTGATTTTTCGACAGATGATGACTTTCACTAGTTGATCTGGCTTCGACATCGCGAACAAAAGATATCAGACAACCAAAATAAGGTGACAAGGCTTCATCGATATATGATGTCATATGCTTCGCTACAGCTTCACGACATCGAATAACCTCGGAAGAATCAGCAGCTCCATGTTCCTACACAATAAATAAAGCGTTCAAACAAGCAAATGAAACAAATGAATATAGATAAGAACCAATAATTTAAAGTTTTATGCACATCTATATAACTTACAGTTAGTACACTTATAACCAAATCATAATTGTTGATTAGAAATATGTGTGCTAATTTTGGACGTGAAAATGTTTTGGCTAGAGAATTCAGTACATGTTCAAATTGATTTTGCAATTGAGCCAAACGACTGAGGATACGAGGGTCTAAAGCAGGCTTCAAATTTGCAAGATTTTGTTGAAATGTTGGTTCATTGTGTAAAGAGTACTGTAAATTTGAACTCTCTGAACTCTTAGATTTACTCATACTGTCATCAAAAAGTGGAGCTGTGGAGTAAAATGAAATTTTACAGAAAAATTTACAATTAACTTTTTAAACAGCAGAAACATACTCATGCATTTCTACGTCATAACAAGAATAACCTATGCAAGAATAATGAAAATCATGTGTACTGTCGGCATATATATATATATATGCTCAGCTATGAGGTTCACTTTTTGTGACAACTAGCGAATTGCTGAAATAGGTAGAAAGGGGTTTGGATATGTGGTCGAAGGGTTGGAAGTTAAGGTTTTTAGCCACTAATCCACAATATTTGGAAAAACGTACTTATGATTAATTAGATGATACAAATTGTTGTATGGTCTGTTAAACGTATATAGAAACGGTTGATACCAAAATTAGATAACTAATTAGTAATAATAGTCATATTCAATACTATAAGTTTTGGTACAGTAAAGATTCCTCAGCATCAATTGTATAATGTTACGACAAATATTTATTCAACGCACATTCAAATTGAAATTGTTCGAACCACATTTTAAAAATGTTTTATATAGTTAGTATCTTTCAACCCTGTTCAATCAGCAAAGCTGCTACAGGGTGTTTGTTTATAAATACATTTGTGTCTTGTTTGTCAAAGGATAGAATAAAAGAGAAATAAAGCAAGAACTGTAGTGTTTCTGTTTGAGTTTTTCAGTACTTAGTATCACAAGTTTGTAATCCTCTTATGGTACAATGTGAGAACGTATAGTTGCCATTTTTAATTATTCAATCCGAACAAATAAGCAGTTCATTTGCAATATTTGCACGGTTAGAAAATAAATATGTCAAATGTTTAAGCAGGCCACTGTATGTATTGATGGCTAACGTTTCAGTTTCATTACAACGAATAACAGTTGTAAAAAAGCTAAATCGACAATAAGTTGGTTTTTATTAGTTTACCCTATTTGTTCTAGATGTACAGATAACAAACAAATAATCGAATAATAAACAACATTTCTCAAATCGTATTTAAAAACAAGTTTACAAGTTAGTACATCCATATTCTATCCTAACGCTACATATCTTTAAACAATGTCTAGTTAGAGATCTAAGTTTGTAACAAACCACAAGTCAGTAACAATTCGATTAAAGAATTATAAATAACACCTTCTACTTAAAAGCATCGATACTACTAAACTCCTTAATCTGTGATGTATAATATAAATATTGAACTTATGAGTTCAACACCGTGAGTAGATTTCTATGGGAGTAGTGTATAGTTCGACAACAGGGAGCCATTTAACTCATCTCCGCAGCTACATGGTTAGGAATGGATTTGAAACAGAACGAAAGAGATGAGAAATAAGTTGGACAGTGACGTAGAAAGGAATGATTTTTAGCACTGTGGTTTTATTATTGTAACACCTATGTAAAGATTTCTTTTAACTCCTGAAAAAAGGTAGAACAAAACACTTGTTCTAAGGTAAACAAAACGATAAGTTTGAGGAATAAAAGCTAAGTTTCTGAGTATTAATAACACTACCAATAAGAGCACACTTACTACCAGGGAATTGATGTCCGATTGAATGTAGGCTAGCAGCTAATTCAGCATAACGTCTGGCTATCCAATGAGGACGAATAAGAGCATACATTTTAGGGTGTAAACTGACAGTGGTATTTCCGGTAGCATTTGTAGGTATATTGACATTTAGGGTGGATAAATTGGACTTCATAATATCACGAGCATCTGTACTAAAACTGCTGACATCCAAATACTGCAGCATGGATGCTATATGTACATCCAGTCTATCAGTAACACGTACCCACAAAGTCTCAGTCATTTTACCCCAAAAACTATTAAATGAACAAAATGGCACAAAAGTCAATTATCTAAGAGGAATCAAATGTACAATATAAATATCAGATATTCTACGGGAATTAGATTTTACTGTTGATTTTACATTGATAAACACAAAACATCTGAAAATTATCCAAAAATTTAATCCAAACGTTTACTTGAGTTTTTAGGATTATACCTTCATTACTGAACTCGACCGATCAAAAACCTAGACACGTTTAGTCCAAAGAAGTGGAATTAATTCGAATAGTGAACGAAAGAGAAATATTTGGTCTCTGAATCATTTAAGTATGTTTTTCCACATTTTAAATGTAATTTTCACATACTTGTCCTTAGAGGTTTTTGGGTAACTAATTTGATTAATAGTCCCCATTGCTTACCATCTCATTTCAAGTGAAGGTTAATTCGGTAACATATAATTATGAACACACAAACAATCCCATCTAAGCTGAATTTTTTATATCGAAACATATACGCCATTTTACATTACCCAACCCATAGCATTTACGAAGTGAGAGAGATATCCAGTTGCTTACCAACAGAAACTTGGTGAAAACGTCTACGACTAATAAAAAAAATTTTTCGTGATATCCCAATGAGTAGAAAATTGTATTTTTGGTGTTACGTGACTTAATGTAAGTCACTTCTTCAGAGTAAATAAATAACCGAAATAAAATTAGCACAAGCATAATTAGTACAACAAAATATATTCGTTATTAAGTTGATAACCAAGGCTCCATTTGAAACTATCAAATCTAAGATTGGCATTGACACTTACTTCTACAAATGTTACATACAGCTACCCAAAACGGATGTTATCGGTAGGCCAAACATATTTTATCGTGTTTTTGCAGCATTTTCATCTTTTGAGGTAACCACCACCAACTTAAATTCACACAAGACCAACACCTGAGGAAACCAACGAGACTACAGGACTGTGTATCTGAAGATCAAGTCTTAGTTATCTCGAAAAGAAACACGGGCAGGGATGAATGAAATAATCAATAAACGGAAGTCATTCATGAGATAAATGACTGCTGCGTAGTGGAGTTGTTGAGTCCCTAGTTTTTATGCTTCATATTTAATAAATCATTGGTTGAAAGATACACTTAGCATATCCTAACACTGATCGCAGTTTCGCAAACGGATACCTCCATTTAAATATAAGAGAATACTATCACACTGAATTTAGGCGATATGAGAATCAAGACAGAGAAATTTTACGAAATGTATGGTGTAAAAACTGATTTAGAACTGCGAAAAAAATAAATGCATAATCTTTAAAACTTACTCATCCAACACAGGTACCCCTCTCTCTTTAGCCAGACGAAGCAAAGCATGTAAAAGCTGGAGACAAATTAATAAACCGATTGCATCATGAGAACAAGAAGAAATCATGAAAGTCCCAGTAAATTTATGTATCCAACTTAAACTACGATTCATAACTTGCTCGAATAAATGAGCTAAGGCTACACCACTTTGAGTTCGACCTTGATTGGGTGTACTTTGATCACAAGATGGTGGTGAATCAACAGACTCAGTTTCCGTGCTAAGAAGGAAGAAATCTGACAGAAAATAATATTCTCGACATGCAGTATCCAGAAGTGCGTAGTGAATGGAACGAAATAAAACTTCAATAGGGTACTACATGGGAAATAAAGGGTTTGGAAAGTAAAACAAAAGTAAAATCTTATATAAACTGATCACTAAACTCTATACAACAGAAAAAAACCTTCAAGACTATATAGTGATAAATGTCTATTGCGGGTCGTTATTTAAAATCAAAAGATACTGTCCTAAATTATTGCGGGAAATCCTTATGAAAACTACTTAGCGTTCAAAACAAGAATAGTTTAACAATCACGTCTGAATGACTTGTCGCTAATTTTGGCAACTCTTCTTGAAAAGTCAACAGAAATGAACTTGAGGTCGATAATAAAGTTTTATTCTCAAGACCCTAACATCCTTCCAAGTTTAGTATTAGGTTAGTGAGAATTGATTCCAGTCCTCTACGAAAATCTTTATACCATACTCCGTGTGAGAGCTTTAATATCAATACAAATTAAAACAGGTAAGTTTCAATTTCAGAAACTGATGTGACGAAAAAAATAAATAGATTTCCTGTTCGCTATTTTTGAGGCCCTGGATGACCGAACCGTAATACAGCAGAGCAGTTATACCCATCTAATCCGAGTATTAATTAGTTAGCCTAGACTTTCCATCTAGTACTGATGACCGGCTAACAAATGACATGATGATAATGAAAGAACTAAGAGAAATATCTGGCGAAAATCGGCCCAGAATAGTTTTCCACGCCCGCCTCCTCGATAGTTATAATAGAACACAATTTATTAAGCAAGTAACTCCTAATTAAAAAGTTCCAATTTGCATACAATAAAATAAAGGCCGGACTACATATCAACATAATTAAGAAATCATGATATGGGTATAACTACGTAGTAAAAGGAAGAAGACTGAGTGATAAGTCCGTAATAAATTAACAATAACTTGGGAAGGGAAAACACGCAACAATAGTTTATGTGTCAAACAAAAGCTTACAGGCACGGGGACATAAAAATACAATAATAATAATCACACAACAAATTATGAATATTAACTTCAGATGAGACCGTTGTGAAAGTTCTGATGTGCTTAATATTAATCCCAACAGAGCAGAGACAACAAAATGCAAACTCGTAATCAGTATGACTGTGAATTTATTTCAACCCATATTTCAATATTTTCTTTTGGAAAACTAAGGTGGAAGTGTATTATTTACTTGCTTGCTTACGCTTGTGTACCCCTCGTGAAGGAGTATAGGTTGCCTGCCAGCATTTGTAGTGGCTCAGCCGCGTTAATCAGTCAATAAGAAGCGGCGACTAGTTTATTAGTGGATAGCACAGACAACAAAATTACAAGCAGATGGAGCGACTCCGAGCAGAGAAGTTAATGAGTGTACGAGAGAAAACAAAGGCGAATTTATGGTCAAATCACATAAGTGCACAGCAAGGCAAAGCAAAGGTTAATAATAGGATTCGAGTACATATATATATGGGAAAGAGAATGACTTATAGAGCGATATTTAAGGTATTAACATTTTAGTTAGAGATATGTGAGTAAGCTGTCACATGTGCTCAAGCGTACATGTTTATACAGACATGATAGTGACCACAATAGTACAAAGAAATAGACGAACTTTTAGCATCAGAATAACATTATCTGTTAAGTAAGTTAGTAAAAAGGCTTAACCAAAATTAACTATAATCGAAATCGGTTGTAGGAGAGTTGCTATAATTCTTTGGTCTTACACTTTTCCGTTTCCCTTCAGGATTCCAAGTTTGGTCTTGCCTCTTCATGCAGTTTGATGATTTCTGTAATGTATGTCCTATCCACTTCCAGAGTCTTTCCCTAATTTCCTCTTCAGATAGGAACTGATTTCATCTCTCCCACAGTAGGCTACTGCGGATGGTAATCGGCCAACGGATATTGAGTATCTTGCGTAGACAACTGTTTATAAACACTTGTACCTTTTTGATTATGGAAATGTATTAGCATATTCAAAATCAAGAAATCAGAAAATTATACTGATTCACTTACTTTAGCATCCACGTTGCTGGCCACATGTGGTAAAATAACAGCACTTTCTAGATTCGATTTACCAAGTACACGAAGTGCACGATCACTTAATCCAAAAAGTCCAACACGTGTTCCAGAATTAGAAGACACTGATACGGTTGGATTATTAGTAACATTAGTAATTGAATTGAACATCAGACTGGATGTAGATGATGCAGAATTGTATTTATCTGGATTTTTCCCTAATAAATCATCTTTTTCATAAGTTGTATCAAGCTACATTAACGAGAGAAAAGAGAACAGAATTGTAACATGAAAAATTATAAATCATGCAAAATTTAATTAGATGGAATCTACAGAGATGGGTTTCGTAGGTTGATTACTGAGATTGTAACCACGTGATTGTACGTAGTAACTGTTGTGACTTTAAGCCCGGCTAATTACCATGTGACTTATTCGCCAATCAGAATACGACTCATACAATCTTAGCACTGTGCCAAACCAACGACGTTCGACCAGTATGAGCAGCCCAGCGTCTTTATTGGTCCTTTTCCATCCTAGCCCTGCCAGTTGAGTCCAGAATATCAATAATAGCTTCTACTATACGAACCAGTTATCTCAAACATACCTGGTATATATACAGGTCAAACGGCCCACATCACATCATAAAACAGAAAATAACATTTGTACAAGATCAAGCCAAAAAGTGGCTGTGATCGTGCGAGACTGTAATCAACAAACTAAGTATAATTTAAGAATAGTAAACCGTATCATAATAGTCCATAGGTCAAAATAAAGCTTATAATAAAAGGAATATAGATATACACAATCTAGTTACTAAATAGTTGCACAATAAGAATATATATTAGTCCATTAATGATTCTCAGAAGTTACCCACAATTTAATCTTCACTAGGATATAATAATAATGATAATTATTATTATTATTACTATTATTATTATTATTGGCAGTTGAGTGCATTTCTTACTGATTTCTGAGTTACATTGAACAAGAGAATTATTTACAATTCAAATAATAACTTACTATTATGAAGACGTATATTCACTGCATATTGGACGAAAGATTTTTTGTGCGTGAGAGACGGTTCCGATTAAAAAAGGGGGATTTAAACATACTACTCATACTATTTGTATATAAATTTAGGTTTATTTAAGAAATGCGCGTATCTGATTTTCTTTTCCAAACAATTTATACCTTCTCCTCTTACAAATTATCTTTATAACGATATATTCTTTTGTATAGTTGTAAACGCTGATACCACCCAATTAATTAACCTAGTACTTTAAATCAGATAAATATTTAACAATCTCAATATTATTTGTTAAAATCAGATACACACTGATCATGATGTACTATTTTTTTCCTTTCATAAGAACATACAATAAACTAGATTATTATCATTAAGCACTATTATACTGGTGTTAACTACAACTAAGACAAAAATATTACTGAGGCAAACCCGTCATTTAAGGCACAAAATTTGAAACGATACATTTTTCCATGAAAAATAATAAAGTAGAACGGAATTACAAATGTATGAAGTTAAGCTTTAGTAAAACTTAGTGACTAACTTGTAATTTGGTTAATTTACCACCATAAGCCTTAAAATAGGCGTAGTAAACTTTACTCATCGTATTGATATACTCCACCCTAACTTCTTTAGCTATCTCTCGATCATGAGCTAAGAGGAACGAATTGTAAAATCTGGATACAAAGGAAGAAAACACCAATAGAAATGTTGAAATATGACTTGAAAAATATAACCAGTTATATGCATCAGGTAGCAACACATGTCGGAATTTTCGCACTTCAAAAATAAGTTTCTTATGTTACTATCACCCTTAAATTCTACATTTCTTCAACTTGTATAATTTAACTCAGGTCAGTCAGATTGAAAACAATTGAATCTTGACGTAACATTTACTCACAAACAGACCGATTAAATTACAAAAGCAAAAGTATATACCAGTTCTAAATTGATTGTTCATGTCTCGAAACACATAGAACGGCAATAATGTGATCCGCAATAACACAAATTATTTTCAACAGATCCATGCTGCAACTGGAATGGTGAAACAACTATCACTTCGAAAATAATATTTCGCTCTAGGATAATTCTTCTAGCTATTAAATGGGACTGTTTGTATCGTTAATCTGTAGTAAGTAATATTCAACCTAAATGAAACGAATTATGCTTTTAAATGGCTTCGAAGAGCGTAAGACGCTCTTGACCTCTTAAAACTCATTCTAAGGACATATTGTTTGTTTTTCGGAGGGTTAGGTGTAATAAGAAAGACTTGTGGAAATGTTGAATAACCAAGAGCTGTTTTTTGTACTCGGCTTTGAATCACATTCTTTGTGTGCGAACTAATTATTCTGCTCAGCTGATGAAACTGAAGTGAAACATGGTCCAAACCTGTGATCAAGTAATTGAGTTGTTATTTATTATTTATTTTATTTGAGCACATAAATATTAGTACAAGGAAGCACCAAATATATATGCGCCACACAAGTTGAGTTGAACCCCTTATGTTACGCAGTAGACATCGTTTGGTATGGTTAATAAAATGAAACAGTTGACAAATAAACATAAGCAGCCCCAACCAACATCAATGATTAATTTTTGTCACCTGTATTGACTGACAATCCGAAATATATGAACTGGTTTGCATATGCGTTTTTCGACAACATAAATGTACGTTCTTACGAAGTAATGTGCTAGTCAATTTGATAGAGCGTATCATTCGATTGGCATTAGAAAGCAATTTGCTTTGATATTAGGTTTCATACAAAAAATATATTACCTCAACGATGAACGTACTAACAGAAGTACCAACGTCATGATAATTTAAAGGAATATCTAGAGGGTCAAAAGTATACATGGTGTTTGACGACACTACGTCTACAAAAATTCCTTTCTGTTGTCAAATAATCAATAGACAATTTGATTTAACCATCAACATTTTATGCATGCTATACGTAATTAATACTTATTATTTGTTGATAACTCGAGACTTCAACTAAAAACATATCACACCTGAAATACTTACCGAAATTTCAGCATTTGGTTTTGAGGAACTTGATAATTTGTAAGTGGCTTACGTAAGGAGTATATTTTACCCAACAGAAATTCCCGGATTTTTGTAACAGCCTAAAGTTAAATTGAAATAAAATAACGTAATAACTGATAGCAGCAGTGAACAGAATATAAAATTTATGGATGACTACTACATATGAAGACAAATAGACAGTTGTTATTTGAAGTAGGTAGGCCCGACCGTTGCTGCTACCTTGACGTGGTGGTCGAGATTGCCTATCGTGACGAATCAACCAACCTACATTGGCTGAAACAATCGTTCCTCAAGTTCCTAACATGCCAGATAGGTCGGTTGAAGAGCAGCAAGACTAAAAGCAGTAAACCCAAGGTTTGAGGGCGACGTCGTACTACTAACTGTACAGAGGAGTGACGGCAGTAAGGTGTTTCCTTAAAAAAAAACATGACAGCAATGCTGCCTTCCCACAAGGAAGGGTGGGTTTACAAAACGTCGACCTTAAAACTACACACCTAGCCTTATCCCATGGATATCCGCCTCCTGCGGTAATGTCTCAACAAGTACGGAGATAACCCGACAATTACTCACAAAAAGGTCGTGTTTGACCGACCCCAAGCAGTTGTCCCTTGGGTACTGAGGTCACGCCCTCAGGTCACTAAAACCACCTCTAATCCAATTTCCTTTTCAGGTACCTCCAGAAGAACCCTTCCACGGTATGGGCAACCGGGAAGTGATAACCGCCCTCATACCTCTAACGGCACTCAAGACCACTGTATTCGTAATCAACCTCCCTCTTCAATTCCTATTATTCCTCCTACATCGGCTTTCACCTCTAAACTTCCTCTTTCGGCTTCCTCCTCAAGTGTCACCATAGCCAACGATTCTAGTGTGCAAAACACTGTCCCAGGTCTACTGAAACCTCGCTCCAAACTATACATTGGATCCTTCAACGTACGCACCCTATGTAAAATCGGCCAGCAGGACTCCTTGACTAAAACCCTAGAATTTATTACCATTGATGTATGCTGTGTCTCTGAAACACGCATACAGGATCCTAGTGTGGTCATTCAGTTAACCTCACCTCGCCAAAACGGAGAGCCAACGAGATACACCCTCCGTGTATCTGGTGACCCGACGACCAGCTCTCGTGGACTGGCAGGAGTAGGGATAGCACTAAGCATGACGGCGGAACAAGCAATGTTAGAGTGGATCCCCGTTAACAGTCGTTTATGTGCTGTTCGAGCAAATGGCTCCATAAGAACTCAGAAGGATAGGGACACACGTCGCTGCCTTTTTGTCGTTTCTGACTACGCTCCCACTGACTGCAGCCCAGATGAAATGAAAGATGAGTTTTACAGAAAGCTATCTGGGCTTCTTCAGAAAGCTAAACGTTCAGACATAGCACTCGTAGCAGGTGACTTTAATGCCCAGATAGGTAGTTTAAACCAAACAGAAAGGCATTTAGGTGGGTATTTTAGTATTCCGGCACAACAAACAGATAATGGTGATCGTCTGCTGCAACTGTGCTCAGACAATCGTTTATTTTTAGCAAACACAAATTTTAAGCATAAGGAGAGACATCGTCTAACATGGCGACCCCCTACACCAAACCAACGATGGACTCAAATAGACCATATTGCCATCAGTCATCGTTGGAGAGGCTCAATAGAAGACTGTAGTTCGTTCTCGAATACTTGTTTGGACACCGATCATGCTCTAATATGAGCACACATATGCTTGCACCTCTATGGACGCAGGAAAACCACATTAAGGAGACCCATTAAAGCCAAAAGTAGATTCCAAGAACAACTGAGACCACACTTAGGCAGTTCTGAAAACGAGGCTGACTCAGATGTTGTTTGGAAAAATATACGAACAGCTGTGGAAACAGCAGTGACATCTGTTAGTGATTTGAACCAAATGGTCACGAAAAATCAGTGGATTTCCGTTACATCTATTGCGCTGATAGACTCTTGTAAACTCAGCCCATCAGGTTCCAAACACGATGAAGAGCAAAAACAAATCAGATCCAGGTTAACAAAAAGTCTGCGGAACGACCGTGAGCAGTGGTGGGCAACAAAAGCAAAAAAGATGGAAAATAAGGCGGCTGTAGGTAACACAAGACAGCTCTACAGACAAATAAAAGAAACTGAAATTAAGAAGTCAAGTGTGAGACAATCACGGAAAACGACAACACTCTTATCTGCTCACAGTCCAGACCTTTAGAACGATGGGCGAAAAATTTTAAGGAGCAGTTCAGCTGGCCTTCAGCTACTCTACAACTACCCATAGTTCCCAGAGTGTAAATGGAACATTAAAGTAGGCCCCCCGACTCTAGTCGAAGTCCAAAAGGCTAAAGCTAGTCTGAAACGAGGAAGAGAAGCTGGTCCAGATGGTGGTCCAATTTTAGCGATTAGGTTGACTAGTATTTTAGATAAAATCTGGGAGTTGGACGCAATCCCATCGGACTGATTGCAACCACTGATTGTCCCAATATATAAGGGGTCAAAATCATCTTGTGAAAACTACAGATGGAATAATTTGACTAGTATAGCATCTAAAATACTAGTCTCAATAAGTATCGGACGCCTGACTAAGACTCGTGAACTGCAAACACGAGGAAATCATGTTGGTTTCAGACCTGGTCGTGACTGCATCAACCACATATTCACCATTCGTCAGGTTCTAGCACACAGACATGCTTACCGGTATCCGACAATGGTGGTCTTTCTTGACTTAAAAACAACACTTGACTCTGTAGATCGCGAAATTCTGTGGCAGTGTCTGTCATTGAAAGGCGTACCTCAGAAGTAAATAAACATTATGCAGGCTCTTTACTCGAAGATTACCAGTCGAGTTAGAGCTTATGGCGAACTGTCGTCTGCTTTTGTAACCTCAAGTGGTGTCCGGTAACGCTGTCCACTTCCTCCATTTTTGTTTAACTTCAACATATACGTACTGATGGAAATAACGCTGTCATTGACTGAGTTTTCGGGCATTGATCTCCTACCAGGACGTCCAGCTATCGACTTAGAATACGCAGGTGACATAGTCCAGTTTGGTGAAAATGCTAATAAAGTGCAGCCTCTTGGTAGCACTGAGCAACAATGCCACGATGTCTGGGGTGCATTTCTCCCCCCCCCTAAATACAAGTTGTTGCTTCAGGATTGGCCCGCATCAACACCTGAACTAAGGATAGGAAAAGAAGCAGTCAAACGCGTTGACACCACTTATTTTGGAAGTTTGATCAGCTCTAATGGGTTGGTGTCTGACGAAATCTCTTCAGGGATTCAAAAAGCTCGTTTGGCTTTTAGAAACTTACGTCACCTATGGCGAAGACAAGATATCCGCCTATCAATTAAGGGACGAGTATATTGCGCAACAGTCCGTTCTGTTTTACCTTACGGTTATGAAATGCGGCCATTAAGGGTAGAAGATACTCGTAAGTGACTGGTATCTGGTCACAGATGTTGCTCGCATTTGCTGGGATCACCGGGTACGGTAAGTAATAGTGGGGTTAGACGAAGGGTACCAGGGACTGCTGGTAAATCGTTCGGTTAGGTTGTGAATCTTCATCGACTAAGATGGTTGGGTCATGTGTTACGTGCGCCTGAACACCGATTACCACGACGTGCAATGCTGACTAGTGTTGGAGACGGGTGGAAGAAAGTTAGGGGCGGCCAAACTAAAACGTGGCATCAGCTCTTGAAGTCACTAACCTCCGATCTGAGCCATGTTGGTAAATGCAGACTATTTGGTTGGGGTCCGCGCGACTATCGTAACCAGTCGTTGGAAACTCTAGGTGACATAGCTCAGAATTTATCACAATGGTGTCGGTGTATACACTCTTTGTCTTCCCTTAAACCATGAGATTAAAATTACTTTATTTCTACGAACTAATTCTTTCTTCCTGCATTATATCCTTATACAAAATCTTTCTTTTATACATTACTACCATTGAAGTAACTACTTCTATAAACTTGGTGTTCATCTTGTTGTGCTAATGAGGTATGGCAACCTGGACTGATGCATATATATGCCTGGTCATACGTTGTAGCTGACTGAGGTAGGTAGGTAAGTAGACTAGGTGAACAGGATCTATATTTCAGACGTCCAACTATCATTAATTGTCACAATTGACAAGAACTGATGTTTATTGAGTGAAAAATTTTCAATATTTCAGAGAATCAGTAGTAACCTTAGAAATAAGAAAAGACCTCAAATGAATAAATCCTTAATATCACGTTGAACTACTGATTTTGTAAGTAAGTAGGCATATTTAAATTCGCCTAAATCATGCGGGAAATTGTCGTAACATATATACCTCCTTAGTGCTTTGATTTCACTTAATTAGTGCAGTATAACCAAAAAAATTAAAACTTTTATATTGGATAAGGGGTATTTAGACTAGTTATCTGGATAAACTGATGCAGACTGAGGACAGTCCGGAGCTGGTGCTTTGTAGTTAAGAGATGACTATCTTGGGTCTAGATAAATAACTAAATTGAAGTATATGCAATCAACAAATAAATCATACACATTTGCAAAGATATACCTACCTTAATTCTCAACTTTTTTAGAAGTACACTAACATCGTTAAATGATTTGTAATCCACCATAGATTGCTCTGACGAGAAATTCATTTTATGATTTAATTCATGAAGGTTTTCAAGGAACTCTTGTTCAGTAACAGGAGTGTACATGATATGTCTAAAAGAATTATTATTAAAAAGGAGTTCGTGAACTGTTGGTTGTTCCAGATAAAATAACATCAAGAGCACTAAAATACCTCATAACTATGTAATTATCAGATCTTGGTTTACGAAAAGTTAAATTAAGGTAATAGGCATCAGGGTCAATACGCCTGATGTACGAGGTCAAACAAAGACAACAAAAACCAATAAACTAAATTGAGTAGAAGTGTCGATGGGACCAAAATTGCTCTAAAGACTTATCAAGCTGAGCATTTTGCATTTCAACTGCAGTAAACAGGACTTTTACGATTATAACACTAGTAACTAAATCTTCTCCTTTGAGATGCAAGGAAGACATGGTGGTCTTACTGGTGTGACCTCTGAAGTTGGCGTGTTAGTGATTACCTGACATATTTTCTTAGCCCAACAGTGAGAGTAGTGAAAACAGTTGATGGTACTCGGTATATGGAATAATTTCTATTAGATTACTTTCATCCAGCTTGCAAAGATATAAATATTCATGATCTAATTTTTGAACCTGTAACAAACGTATGATCAGATCAATTGAGTGGTCAATTCGACGTCTAGTATCAAACGGTTAAATGAAGAGATAACATTTGGACTCGTCTGGTTATTTACATACCTAGTAAGCAATTGATACTAATATCTTCACGATAAATGCCTGTCCAATTCAGTTTACTTTTTACCTATCGTTTGCTGCCGTGAATAGTTATTGCATACAAGTTTAGGATTGACTAGACCTAACTATCATTGAACCTAGTTCTATACACAGGTTAATTTATCACAAGCAGAATAACAAACAAATAATGAAATCCCGATTGCAGATACTACTTTGATGTGGTGGTTGGGTTTGCATATCATGATGAACCAATCCAGAAATAACGGCTGGAACATTTGTTTTGTTTTGGATTTCACCATACTAGGTACGTCAGTAGGAGTGACTGAATGAATTATTAGCCCCAAAATTCCCTCGCACGGCAGAGGGTGGGGAGAGTCCGTTTTCGCTCTCGAAATGCTCTCACATGGTCACACGTATACGGCTACTGCCAGGAAAGTCCTACTCACTGCCTTCTCGTGGTGGGAGTGTTGTTCACAAAATTGGAAGGACGAAAAGCGAATGTCTGGCGATCTAACCGGTTGGTGGATACCGAGAGTCTACCTAGGGGAGTTGAAAAACCCTGATTCCAAACCAGTGGTGCACATAGGCTCCAGGATCCTAAAGGGACAAGTGGAGTATGAACCAATCACTGGTCACCGGCTACTATGGGACTGCATCTCCTTACTTTGCTCCACTGCCATGTGGATCAGACCTTTAGGTCGAAGACTCAGAGAGTGGCCCCCTAAGAAAACCACCTGCTTCGGTATAGGCAACCGGGCAGTATCACAGCCCACACACAAATCAAGTGACTTGTGTGGCGCATACGTATTCGGTGCCCCTTTGTACCAATATTTATGTTCAAATAATAAAAAAATGATCGAATTATATTGTTAAATAATTGATTTATTCGGAACTTTTGGACGCGATGCACAATGATCGTTACAACCCAGTATCGAAAGGATTATAACTGTTCAGATTGAAGAGACTAACTGAAAGTGGCTGCTAGCTAAAACATTACTTGTTTTTAGTACTCAACATTATTTAATTAGTTTACCATTAAAAACAGGTGGCAGCTTTCAAAGTGGGACAAACAAGTTTTGCCAATGAGCTTTAAAAACAAGAAGAGAATTCTGATATAACTTCAGAATAAAACTAATTCTGAAGAATTAATAAGCCAACGTCATGGACAATAGTACAAAGTAACTTTATAGATGTGGTCGAAATGCTTACCGTATAAGCTCTTCAGGAATGGCCATATCTGAAAGAAACTGGCTTAAATTACTCCGAACAACCTAGGGAGAAATAAATCAGTGAGGGAAAATCAAGTGACTTATTGGCTTGTCAGAATGTGACAAAAATGAAATTATAAGTCTGTAAGCTTTGAAAGTATCATCTCTTTACATAAGCAAGTGGCTCAAGAGTTACCGTCTACTTTAGTGTTCTTACTGAGCGTTTGGATGAACATAATACCGTAAGCGCAAGAGATGGACATGTTTGTATGTTACCATAGAAAACTGTCTACTTTAAATATAATCACTGTATGTATTACAAACAAATCAATTGAAACGAAACTATACAATGTTCAAAGTGTCAATAGTACCTTAACATGGCTTATAGATTATATACGTGATACGATTCATCCAATTTGACTAAACAACTAGCTAACTGATCGTATCTTTGTGCATTGAATTCACTTTTTTGAATACTGATCATGAGGAAAATTGATCAAAGTTGATAATGGAAAGTCTTACTGGCCGTCTAAAGCTTCAGAAGTTATTGATAAGGATTTTAAAATATGATTTGTATACAGAACAGTACACTTATGAATAATTCTGGCTCTTTTCCCTAAATGAATTCTTTTTCGATAAAGCTATAAAACACTTAGGAATAGAACATAATTTGTGTGATAATTTAACTAATCTTAGTATTACTCTGTTATTAGCTAGTTAAACCCGCCTATTCGTATTAAAGTATTTTCCAAGGTGAATCAACTGAATCCCCTTAGGCTCATTATGCAGGCGTGCTCTTTAAATCTAGACACCTAAAGAAAAACCTAAATCAAGATCGACACAAAACACAGAGGTAAATTCCCAGACAATAACTTTACTTAGCAACTTAGATACCAACCAAGGGAATAAATATGATTCAATACAACCGAGGTCTATAAATCCTCATAAGTGAAGTGAGGTCGAGGTTCGCATTAAGATTATATATAGTGCTATAGATATCAATTTATCAAACACGTTAGATATATTTGAGCATTCAATGCCTATCATTTATTATATTTCGTGGTCGGCAGAAACACTGTATTTACCAATGTTTTCCTTTTACTATTAGGATTAACGCACTCCAAAATATACAAAATGAGTAAAAATAATAATTTTAGTGAACAGAAAATTAACTCATTACTGTGCAATAACACACCTGTCTGTTTTGCAACCGAGTGTTCATTTGTAGAGATTTACTTTGCAAATCCTGGATTTCTGTGCTAATGGCACCCAAATCTTCATGAAAATTAGTCAGTATGTTTTCTATCCGCTTAATTATGATGGAAGTATACTTTAGAAATAAGAAACAAACCTCTAGGATAGCATCACATGAGATAATTTGGGTATGCAAACTAGCTACTTCAGGACTGACCGTTATATCTATGTATACCTAATAAATGTATAAAATTTACATGTCTTTATAAGTGATTCTTCTATTTTCGTTAACTCTGATTCAACTTGAGCAGCATAATCACGTACATCAATTCCCTACATTGGTGAGTAAGTAAACAAACTAACTTACCGATTTTAGAGCTATTTCTTCTATTTCCGTTTTCAGTGACTCTGAAATGACTAAGATTATATTACAAAGTAACAATAATCACACCATCAACATTCATTTTCTATACCACCACCAATATTTAACAGATGATGTAAAAATTAACGCGTTTGTAATTAAACAGCATTATGAATGTCACCAATTCACCTTCCTGAACTCTAAAAGTAAATTTTGCCAATGGAAAAATATGAATATGACATGTGTAATGAATGAAAGCAGTTTGCATGCCCAAATGCTAATATTAAGTTTTGAACCCTATAGGATTACTATACACCGAGTATGTATTGGTTTACCTTTGAAGTTTTAGTATACAAAGTTTGGTGGGAGATTGACAGGTTAAAAATCTATTCCCCCAACTCCATATCAATATAAAACTAGAAGTTTCCGAACTAACCAGTCGTTTACATCTCAAGACATAAACGCCGGCGAATTCTGTTACGTCCTAGTAATAAAAGTTAAAGAAGGGATAGGTACTACTACACACTGAAGGATGTAATACTGTCTAAAACTACAACCTAAAGTGTCGCCTGAACTGTTAGCTAAATGTATCAACTTTCACCACTTCTACGTGATACTATTATCACCCTGATTTGGAAGAATCTGTTTTCAAGACTACTTCCACTGGTTACCATATTTTAGGTTTGAACCTAAAAATAGTAAGTGACATTGTTAGCCAGAAACGTAGATAGTAACACTTTGAATGTCTCGAATAGATAAATGACAAAGCCTTTATTTAAAATGCACATCAGGAGACTAAAGAAAACCTGTGAAAGAACATACGGTTCAAAAGACCAGCGGAAATAGATCTCAAAATAAAGTGGAGGATCACTTGACAATGCCTCTTCGCTCTTTAGTATAACGTGCTCAGAGACAGTCTAGGGGATATAGTTATTGTATTCGTCCGTATATGATTAGTTATTGTTTTACGTTGACGTCAAGTAATTATTTAACACAACTTTATCTTCATTCCTACAGCAACTCAAAAAAATGAGGAAACTTAACTAGCATTTAATAAGGAAATTCGGTGCGAATAAAGGGATCTTGTACCAAACTGTTTTCTTGTTCCCCATAATAGCTGCAGCACGTGATAAAAATAGTGAGATATTTAATCCTAAATCTCCCTAATAAAACAGGCTTCTCGCAATTAACGCCCTAAACTTAGCTTAATTTAACATCATATAGTCTACTTTCCACTTACAATAACACCAAAAGGTCTATTTTCCCTACGAATTCACGTCAAGTTATGTTTTAAACATTACTGTCGGTAAACTTATCAGTTGTTCTCGGAAAACAGACGTTGACCTTACTGATACAAAAAGTTTTGGATGCTCTGAGGATAAACTCCAGTGTCACCCTTTTTAGAAACTAGTAACCAACTGCGTCGACACAACCTCTAACATATGTAAGTAGCGCAACCTTTGATTGCCTGCAGAATTTCAGATTGTTTTAACTAGTTGAGTTCATTGAATGTATGGTAGTTAATATTTCCTAGAATACGAATTTACATAGGTTTTCAGTTTAATCTGGGTTTTCTTTGTGTTAATAAACTTAGGTAACAAAGTACATCCTCAATCAGCCACAATATCACTAAATCTCATAGTCTATATAAAGTTATACTTAGCAGTCCCACCCACCTTTACATCTGCTTTATTGCTTCTGTTACTATACGCCCTTCTTAATAAAGGATCTATCCGGTATTCTGGAAAACGTGTCGTCAAAATTATAAGATTCTGTCTGGCCAACTTCAGAACGATGCTGAGCTAAACAAGATTATAAACTGTGCCTAAAATCCCTCAGGAGACACCACCGGTCACAAGCCCGAATAAAGGAAGAAGAGTGGAATTAAGATCATTCGCTCCGCTTCTTTAAAAGAAGTCTCGCTAAACCGCAGCCAGAAAGAACCACTAGAACAATTTTAAACTCTGGTCTGAGAGTTAAAGAGTCTTCATAAAACCTGGAAAACTCCGAAAGCCACGAACCCAATACTTTTTGTGAAGTCCAGAGAAACAGCGAACATAGAGATACAGAATACCCGGGCAATGTGGGAGAGTGGAGGAATCGTTCATATAGTCACAGTGGTAAGAAAACAAAACTATGAGACTTGTAATAACTTAGATTGGGTTGTTGAGAGTTGGCAGAAAACATCTTGATGATGTCGAAACATTATAGCCCCAGTATTTGTTTACTTCTTTATTTTGTTTGAGCATTATATTTCCTATTATTCTATACTGAATGTTGAAAACTTAGTGGGTTTGAAAAGATAACCTCGTGCTCCAACTGTTCTGTCCCTCGATCCCCTATAACGATCTATTACAACCACTAGTCTGGCATCTCCCAGTACTCAAGGCTCTTTGAATAAGATTTTATTGAAAATCACCCGAATAAAAAGTCAGCTTTAAGATAGCTGCCATCGTATTCAAGATATAAGGAACGATGTGTCTCATGAATAAATCTATTACACCCCTTTATCAGCTCTCTCTTCAGTTATCTGCTTGCCGAAGGTGAACTGCCTGCCGACTGTAAACCAGTTTTACCCCACCCGTTTGTAAAAGTAGCAATTTTGGTTGAAGCTTTCAATTTGGGACCTATTGCTTTGATGTTTATGGTCGTGAAGATCATGAAAAGACTTACAAGCTTACCCATTTGGGGATGCTTACCTAAACTCCCAGTGTTATAACAATCCCAAAATGAAATTCCTACAGGTAGATACTGTTGTACTGAGTTTTATACAGCTGGAGTAGTTAGATGGTATTACTGCACCATAATTAATTTTTATACAAAGTCCTCTCCCACAATCTTTTTTTAGGTGTCCTACGAAAATGATCAAATGATTCTTTGTTTGGAACTTAAATCAATAGATACCGCTGAACTCACATAAAAACTACAAGTTTGATAGGTTCACAACATCAAGCCCGGTGTTACATTCCCATACTGACAATGCTTGTTCTACACTGATATGGCTGACAAACCTGGATGTTCAAGCTTACCACTCTTTACTGGACTGCCATAGTTCCGTCTTAATTGATCGTGAACATTGTGTTGAATAAGGTAAAGAAACGCATTAAGAAATGACAAATACTTTGTTCGTATTAATAAGCAGAAGAACCTCTTAGTTGCTTGACAATCGTATTTTAGTGGAACGCTATTCACTTGTATTTCGAAACATTGGTCAATATACTTCTTCTTGCTGCATGAGCCGTTCGTCTTATTACTGAGAACCGGGTAATCTCCAATCTTCCGGAATATTTCTTCAGTAACCTGTCAGCCACTAATAAGTGCAGTCGATCGAAAAATAGCAGAAGTACTTACAAAGGTCGTACTACTGCACTGACTTGTAGTTCAATAACCTAGATGATATGTGTCGAATGATTAGGGGCCTAGTCGAGTTACACGGAAATTGTGTGAATAACCAGCTATCATCGAGGTCAAACCTCATGGTTCTCACCTAACATGGATTACCCTTTCTTCGTACCAAGGTACGATGGCTGCTCTGAAGACCGTACAACACAAAAGACATTACTACAGAAATGTATTGGTAAAAGTAGGCACAAGGAAGAGATTGTGTCCAATACCTCACGAATCAGTCCATGGCGAGCGATTAATTAATGCGCGTTAGTTGTTGTTGACATTGAGGAGGATCAGTGAACTGTTCAACCTGACTGCAGGATGAGTTGGCTAGAGTTTGGTGATATTTCGTTGGTCCTACTATATTCCCCACCAGAATTAACGGCCATTTGAATCGGTAACAAACACGGTGAGGGTAATCGCACGCCGTAGGTCTCCAGAGGATGAGGAAATCATTCGGATATAACTGAATTGCAAGACAACTGGATATTCATCGACAGCAACTGATAGGGAAATAGCGAGTAATGATAAATTTGGGAATTTCGGATTTGTCGATGCGCCTATAAGTATGATTCGCAGGTTAGTTAAATGTTTGGCTATTTACATTGACGATAATAATAAGCTCTGCCGAGTCATATTAAAATAAATTAATTTGAAAAGTGATTTAGTTTCTCAGATATCCAGCTTTCAGTTTGCCGCAAGAGTACGATAAGTATGTAGTGGCATTGGACAATAGCCACACAATCCACAAAGCTGTGAACACAAGACTACTCAGAAAATAGATATTCAATATTTAACGCGGAGAAATACCTAACAATGGAGAAGGCGCGAACAATGAATTGAATGGACGGGAGTTGATCGAGTGGCATGGCTCGTCCATGCAGGCGTGGTCCATTTCAGTGTTACTTTATATCTTCTATTCATATTAAATATATTGTTCTTTCTCTAGCCTAACCTTGTTCCTCGTCAGGTATTGGTAATTGATACGATACAGTGAGTTGGTGTAGTCGATGGTGTGACTTCCACGTAAGATCTTATAGATTAGGCAGTTATATCATGACGAATCTACAAATTTAGGATTAGGTCTATTATTAGAGCAGTACTAATATCATAGTAGACCATAATCCTACATTGGTGAGCCCAACTAAAGAAACGCAACCTAATATTATTAACCCTTATTTCCACTTCAACTTTCTCGATCGATTTTATATTTATGTTAACACTGTATTCTAATAGTCCTCTGATTAATGCTCACATGCATTATCGTAATGTTATATTGATTAGTCCTCATGACAAACTAGCTCAATCGATAATAAAAACTGGTCGTCTATATTAACTAATTAGCTTTGATGATTTGTTAACAAGCTGTGATAGCATTTACATGCTTCAGCGACATAGTCTTGTTTAAACATCAAGCTCTAGCAAATATGACCTGTAAATAGCGTAAATATACATTGACTAACAATGCGATCAAGGACTAAATAGTTATCTGGATCTAATTCTCAGTGTTCCTTCACTTAACACCTCATCCTGTTTTAAACGATGCACTATCCTGTAATATCTTTTCTTCCGACCACTGCCTGCCTAATTTCATATTCTCGAGTTCCATTGCCAAACAACGAGGATGACACTTCTCCAAAAACATACGGTGAGTTTCAGCTATAAGTTTTCTGCAATCATAAGTTCATTTTAGATGGTTCGTTCAATGACAACCAT